TTTTTAAACCATTGGTTAAAAGCAAAAAGGAAAAGAACAAAATGGAAAAGCAACAGTAAAGATCTTATAGATCTTAGAGTAAGAGAGCAAAAAAAGAGAGATAAAGTTATCCAGAAAGATAGAGAGTTATTATTCTCTTAAAGAGTAGAAGAAGAAGAGAGAGAATTATCTTTCTCTAAGAGAAAAGAAGAAGATAAAGAGAAAAAGAAGAAAAAAAGAGTTGAGAAGAAGGAGATGAAAGACAGTAAGTGATCATCTTCGTAAGCTTTTTCTTTTGTAGAGACAAAGGAAGAAAAAAGAAAGCATTTTATTTTAGAGAGAAAAAGCTTCTAGAAAGAAAAGAAATCTTTTAGAGAATAGGCACCTCAGAGAAGAAAACCTAGGGAGAAAATTTTATAGAAGAAATTAGTAATAAATAGTGCATTTGTCTCTTTCTCCCATAGATGTAGCTTGAAAAAGTAAACCATGTAAAATCTAAGTTAGTTATTTGACTTATTTGCATATTTTCCCACTCCTACACACACATTCTGCTGTACGCATTTGCGCATTAACATCGACATTAATACGATAAGATTTAATTGTTGAGCTCACCCACTTGGAACCCTCTTGCACTAATGCGCGTAGCGGAAACCAGGAAATATGAGAAACACAAATATGCCAAAGTTGATGTTGATGTTGTATGAATGAAAAAACATACAATAAAACATATAAAGAAATAAATATTACTGACATCGGATTTATGTGGTTCATATTTTTAGGCTACATCCACGAGCGAAAAAAACTAATATACTATTAAACTCACAAGTTACAATAGTCTACCAAGAAACAACATTTATTGAGATCACCGATTTCATCTAGATAATTCTCTTTAGGATTTCCCTCTCTGATCACATAGACTGCTTTTATTTCTAGATGTTTTCTGTTTTTAAAAGAAAATGTTCTCTTTTTCTCTCATTTTCTTCATTTCTCCCTCTTTTCTCTTACAAAAAAAAAAAACTTAAGAAGATGATTACGGCTCTCTTTCATCTTTTTTTTCTCTATCTTTCATCTTCTTCTCTCTCTAAGAAGAATGATAACTCTCTCTCTCTCTTTTTTTCTCTTTTCAAAGAAGGATAATACTCTATCTTCTTTTATCTATGGGGCCGTTTGGTAACCTAGAAATCTATTATATGAAAATAGATTACACGGAAATATAACATTTTCATTGTTTAGGTGGGCCGTTTGGGAACTTTGAAAATCTATTACATAAAAATATATTATTCGAAAATATGACATAAAAATATATTATACAGAAATATAACATTTTGATGGTTTGGATACACTTTAATGGTAAAAAAATGGAAAAAACTTACCGAAAATTTCCTAAAAAATCAGGAAATCTATTGCGCATGATTAAGGTGAAAAATCTTTTACATGTTTAATGGGTAAATGGGTAATCAGAAATCTTTCTACGTGATTTTTGCTACCAAATATAAACATCATCAATTAGCAACTAAAACACAGTAGCCCCATCTTCAGCAACCAATAACTTCTTCAACTAGCCCCTAAAACGGGGCAACCCCATCTTCTGCAACCACAGTTATTGTAATTATTGTTAAAAAAAAATAAACAGATATAGGTTCTCTGCTAAAATTGATATACACGATTTGATATAGAAATTTATTTTTTTGGTTCTGCAACCATAGATTTATTGCTATTGTTCCAAAAAATTAAACAGATTTGGATCTTGTGTTAAGATCAATCTGTTTATTTTTTTGCCTTTATGTTTTTCTTTTCTACTGCTATTGTTTGCTAATAAAATCAAAATATTTGAGTTCACTCACAAAAAATCATCAAATCAGTGTGCTTGAATTGTTTTTTTTAGAACTTTTTTAAATTAATTTGCCTCTTCAATCTCTTCCAATGCCCCAACATAATTTCTCCTCCAATACATCTCATTTAGTCATAAAGCCTTCTAGGTTACTAGCAAAATTTCTCCAAACTTTTTTTTTCTTTTGAATTTGCTCATGGAAGTTTTTTGGAGAGAGATGATCGAAAGGCTTTAGCATTGGAAAAAAAAAAACATAAAAAATATGATGGCTTATCATAATAAAAGTATGTTATTCTAAAGTATTAACATCCAACTTTTTTTTTTCTTTTGAATTTGCCTATGAAAGTTTTTTGGAGAGAGATGATCGAAAGGCTTTAGCATAAGAAAAAAAAGCATAAAAAATATAATGGCTTATCATAATAAAAGTATGTTATTGTAAAGTGTTAATATCTTGAAAACCTGTGATTCCAAGTCAAAACGCAAAGGCATACAAAAGGTGTGGCTAATTCTTATACCTGATGCAATTATAAACTTTAAGCTACATGCTAATAGGGATTGTACACTCAACCATGGGTATAAAGCCAAAAAAGAAAAAAAAAATTGTTGGTAATGCAGTTCCCATATTTCTTCTAGACATAGCCAAATACTAACAATATATTTCCAAGGTTGCATCTACATACTATCCAATATATTTTCAGGTATCCAAACTGCCCCTAAGAGAATGCTAACTTTCATTGGCTTTTTCTTCCCTGCAAAAGAAAGTTTCATGTATCTCTGATACATCAAGAAAAGTCCACCCAAAAAATGGTTCAAGAGAGGTGCACACCCAAAATGGCCTAAGGGAGATGGTTTTGGTTTTCCCATACCAAAACCATATGTAAGATCCTATTTATGTGAGACCCTATTTGTGTGGGATCATGACTTCTCAACAAGTCACCCTCTTTCACTTTCGTAAAGTGCCGCTTTAATAATAAGACAATTTTATTAGTGTCCCTCCCTCATGGGATTCCCAACATTAATCATAATGAGTAAAACGAGCAAAACAAATTATAAAAGTTTTCCAATACTTGAATTATAATTATCTATAAATTAAGAGCTGAGGGTTTACATTATAAAAGTTTTCCAATACTTGAATTATAATTATCGATGAGTTAGGAGCTGAGGGTTTACCTACTTTGATAGGGCCGCAGCCCTAGCCCTATAAAAGCATTTTCGTTATAGTAATCGGTAACATCGGGACAATACTTCGATTTGTCCCTTCACTAACAAAGTGTTCTTCTTTTACCCAACAGCTGTGTCTATTATATAACTAACTCTGTCCCTATTCTCAGCGTATGGTTCCTTGTTGGCCTTCTTTTCCTGTACATCCATTCACTGTACTCTCCTTTCCTGACTTTAATTTCTTTTATATGATTGTTTTCTGGTTTTCCCTTAGATTCCATTAAAGAAAAAGTTTATATAGAGCCCGGGCTTTAATCAATCAAATTTGAGCCTACATCAAAAATTTCACTAGAAGATGTTGTTTTGATGCTCAAATATCGTCAAATTGATCATCTCGACATCAAGATGTATAAACATGAGAAAAAAAATGGATTTCAAGTTTTAGAAATAGTATATTTTGTAATGCATTTTTAGACCGCCAATTTTCAAGATTTTTAAGTTTTCATAGATCTACTCTATTTTTGAAGCTTTAACTTTATAAATAAAAAATGAAAAATATATTTTAAGGCTATCACAAATATTTCCAGTATTGAAACCACATTTTTCGATACTATTTGAAGGTAGGCTCTAATTTGATTGTTTAGCCTAGGCTCTATACAAATCGTACCCTTCCATTAATGGTATCTAGAAAAATGGGCCTGAGATTATTTTTTTTGTTTGGGAAATTTATCACAATATATTTTTCAATTACTTATGGTTTCATAGTTGGAAAATGTTTATATAATGTTGCAACCTTAAAATGTAGAATTATACATGCATCTCAAAAATACATTGAAAAATATTGTTTTTAAGATTAAAACTCTCTAACTGATCATCTTGACATCGAGATGTATGATATTAATATATATATATATATATATATATATATATATTATTTTTATTTTTATTTTTATTTTTATATTTTTTTTAGTCCCAAAAATAGTGCTTCTTGCAACACATTATCTAGACCGTCCAT